TGGTTCTGCAGAACTTCAACCTGTGGGTGGAATGAATATGAGAAATCAGGCTCCTCTTCCCTATCTCACTAAAGCGTCACAACAACGATGACTTAATCACAGCGTTCTTTGGATTGTCGCGAGTCCCCGTTTATGTTTAGCGCGGGAAGTTGTTGATAAATAGATATTTATTTTCTCATTTCTATTTTTCCACATTTGAGGATTATCTCTCATGTAGCAAAATAGTCTCATAGGAATGTCACAAAGGCGCACAGAAAGTAGAGACAGTTTTCCCATCCAGCATCGCCTCACTTTCCCCCCCTACTAAAAAAGAGAATATTCAATGATATTGATAAAAGTAAAAAATAAAACAACTCGAACCTGACTCTCATGTCTCGTGACAAAATTTTCCAATGCGTTATCTTTCGCCTCCTGTAAAGTCAAGAAAAATGGACGTTTATTCAGTTGGCTTTGTTACTCTCCCTGCTCTTGCGTAAAAACACTTGTTTAATGATTAGGCGCTGGCCAGCTGGACAGCAGACAGTTTTTTTGTTTCCCACGGTCACAGTATCCGACCGCGAGCTGTGCGATGGATTGTAAAGTTGGAGTTTCTTTTAAAATCTCTTTCATTTTCTGTATTCAACAATTTCCGCCCTCACTTGTGATGAGATTTCTTTTCTTTATTAATGACAACAGTTTGCCTTCAGCTGAGTACAAGTCAAATGGAGTAAAATTCAATGAAGTGTATAAACAAAACAAAGGCCCGCTGTTCGTATGCGTGGCCACACAAGATCTGCAACCTCCGGTGGAGCGTAATTCGATGCTCCATAAGAAGGTAGTCCTACTGTTCTCTGTGCGGAAAAGTTATGTCGGCAACGGAAATACTGTGTAAGCAATCCATCACATGCAAGCTAAATACTAAATGGACTCTGATCCCACAGATGCCTTCCTTTTCTAACCATAATGAAACCCTAGGCTTAGCATCTAAAAAAATAGTTTCGCGGCTAAATTTGATCAGGCTTTGAGTACGAAAGTGGGAAAAAATACCCACACTATTAACTTATATCTTACCATTTTACTTTTCATGGTTGACATCTCATTTTCTAAAGCCTCAATTCTGCTCAGCAAGCTCTGCACAGAACTCTGCATTTCCGGTCTCGGTGTATCAGGCTTGGTTCCTGAGAGTGAAAAGAAATTCCAAGTAAGCTTTCCTTGGAAGTCAATTCGAAAGATTTGAATGTCCAAGGTAACGACCAAATGACGTAAAACTGATCATTCCCATTTTAATTTTAAAAGGAAACGTTGGAACACTATTTAACTTCTGCCAACACTGGCGTGAATGGCTTGGGCTTATGTAAAATGCGAACTTTTGTGAGAAACAGATACTTTTCAGATTTCAGAAATGATAATTGAAGTATTTGATTGATGTGGGTAAATAGACCCTTCTTCGTGAGACATGCGGCTTTCAAATTCCGACAAATCGTGACCTTGTGACACAATCAATATTTCCCGCTAAAATACAGCCCGAGACGAAAATAGTCAAAGGATAGAAACTCAAAATGAATGAGAATAATCGGATGAAGCGTAGGAAAAGGTTACGGATTATTTCGTGATGTCACCTTTCTACAACAAAATATAATATAAACATTGTTTGTAGAAATGCAAAACTGTGACCAAAGGGTTGAGTGCTCATCACAAATTAATAAACAAAGAGTAGGAAAGAACTCCGCCACCCATACGAGTGTGTTTGATTTCCAGCTCGCCTGCGGCTATAATGTCGGAAGATAAGAAAGCGTTTATATTTCTAAATTGAATCAACAGTCTTTTTCCTCTTTCCGTTTGCGGGCTACTGGAATGTGACCTTTTATAGCGGCATATTTTCGTTATCAAAGATTCTCTCATGGTTTCACCGCTCTCTACGCACGCAATCTGGCTGGCGCGAAACACAATAAACTTTTCACTATCTAAGGTGTCATGGGTTATACCTTTATAACTCGAACTTAGTTATGATCTTCCACTACCTGCGTTTGAGCAAGAAGACAATTGTATAACTTTCGAATTTCATTGATCTGAGGTACAGGAGGTTGCAGGATTTACGCGCCAAAAGGACATTCCACAAATTTCCGCCGTTCATTTTTTTCAGTGTTTCTCCCAGGCAAGCCAACGATTGGCGATTTTATATACATGTATCGATTCCAGAGAGAACTATGTAGACTTCGGTGCTATTTCGCTGAAGAATCTTAAGAAATTGTCTTAAAATAAATTGCCGTAAAAACGTAAGACTTCCGGTGCGAGATCATACACGGATTCGTTAAGTTATTTACATTAGTACATTCCTTGGTGAATAAATGAATGAATAAACTAATGTGCGAGTATGAATGAGTTCGTAATGAGTGACCTTTCCACGTGAACACTACAAAGAGTATCCCTTCTCGACTTCATTCAGAGGATCAATTTTCTAGTTTGTTTTGACATTTATAGCAATCAATTTGATAGTGTCCAGCAACTGTAAGTTGGTACGTGGAAGTATGCACAAAATTTGGCGCCCACATACCCCATTCAGCTTTAGGTACTCTCACGTGCACGAATTAAGCAAACTTATTTTCATGCGCGTATTCTTCGTTTTAGTAAGGCTGGTGAAGAAATATGAAATAAGAACACAACCCCTGCAGTAGTTTTTAACATACCTGTGTTGAAATCTTTGCAGCCACACTTTGGACCCAATGTGCCGTAAATAATTAAAATCACTAATACAAGCGCTGCTACAGAAAAGGCAAGAATAAGGAAGAGTATTAATTTGCTTAGACAGCTGTCTTTCTTCCAAGAAGGGAAGCCACTTGCACTGCACACTGACAGTGCGCTTAAATCGTCTGAACATTCAGTGATTTGTCTCACGCGCTGCTTCAGAGGCCCGGTTGGTTCATATAAATCATTGTCTTTACGTCTAGGGCCTTGTTCTTTACTTTCCACCCCTACACTTGGTAATTCCTCATAATCGTGAGTTGAGTCATACGCGGCGTTATGGTGTACTTCTCTGTCTCTGGGGAACTGACCACTCCTTGAATAAATCGATTCGTAGCTTCGCGAGCCATCACAGTTCGGAGTATCCATGGGTAGTGTAACTTACAAAGGCCAAAGTTTCAAACTTTTGTTGTCCAACGTCTTGGATCACTTCTATATCGCTGTTGTTGCTGTTATTGTCTGATCAAGAGTCCAAAAGTGTAAAACCATAGGTAACTCGTGGCGTGTGTATGACTGACGGCAAACGATTCTACCTGATATCTAACTTGTCACAGGTATTATGTACGCAAAGCGCTTCCGCGCTCTTTATCACGTGTTCAGAGAGTGTATCCGTCAGTTATGATGTGTAGGTCATCCCACCTCACGATAGCTTCAGGTGTTAGCTTTAGTTTGAGCCGCTGTGACAATATTTTTCTTGAAACAGTCAATGCAGAGTGAGGAGGAAACAATTTTATTGTTGGGGGTTTGATGTTGCAGCTCCAGAATGGTGGTTAATTTTTGAAGAAAGATTAGAATGTGTAAGAAAAAACATCAGGCATCTTCCATTAAAGATAAAATGAAGTGGTATTTTCATTCCATTGGGCAAACTGGTCATAGAGGAGTTCCCTTGATTCAGCATCGTTGACGTTCTTTGAATTAGGATTGTTTGTTTGCTTACTTTTAAAACGCTAGATTAGTTTTCAGCGACCACCAGTGCATTGATATCTTTTTCTTTATGATAACCGACATGGAATTTCCTGTTGTCTTAATAAGCAAATCCGGGAGGTTGAACCCTACACCCTCTCAATAATATTACAGACGATCAAAGCGAACACATTCGGCGACGAACTGGTGTTTCCCCACTGGAAACCTGTGGATTGCAACGTGATGATGCACTCTTACAATATCATATTATAACTCTCGTGTAAGAGAGGGACTAAACGGTATCTCTTACATGAAGCATATAATGACCACGAGGTTTATTCAGAGCGAGTTTAATTATGTTATACAACAACTCTCGTTCTGCAATACGTACATTCACACTTCTTTGGAGTAGAAAAGGGGTTTACAAACGTCACACCTCATAAGGTGTTGATTGTTGTTTTCTTCTCTTCCTAAAATATCCAAATTGAAGTGTTTGGTTATTCGCGTAAATTATCATGAGTTACGCAGTCTATTTCTTTAGTTCCAACAGAAAAGACATAAAATACGCCCTCCGTGACTTAATTACGTCTCAAAGAAAGGCGCTTTAGGTCAAGTATTTGAAAAATATTAAAAATCATGTAAATCGAGCCATTCAAGCTCTTTTTCGATCAAATGTAACGCCATCTTTCATGTATTACTAGCCACGTCGACCTAACTAGCCTAATGCAAATTTCCAAACTTTTCGATTTGGCAAAGCTGAAAGTAGCTCATCTGTAGCTAAAACGTTTGCTCTTCCTCTTACGAAATTCTCTTGAACGGTCATGTACGTGCTTACGGCCGACAGTGCGTAACTGATCCAAAGAACACGTAGGCAACAAGGCTTAGTTTTATTTTTCTGTCATCACGTAACAATGTTCAGCAGTTCTTAGGTTTAAGCTTCACTTGAGGGTCACACCCATTACTTTCAAACGTTTGATAGACCGTACTCCAGAAATGTTACAGGATTCATGAAATAACGATTTCACTCCAAACTTCTTCCCGTTCGCGCTTTTCTTTCTCCTGTTACACTTATTGCGTGAGCAGACGAGATGAATCAAACCATGTGGTTTGATTGGCTACATGAGTGGGCTGAGCGGGCTTCTCTTGCCCAATCGCAATCTCAGAAACCACATGGTTTGTACCTTTGAACATCTTAGAATTTTACTCGCAGTTATTGCAGTAAGGAAAAATAGCAAAATGGTTACTTAAAGGTACAATAACCTTCCACATACGGATAAGGTTGTTTTGAAAAGACAGAGACAAACTAGACAGCCCAGTCTCGACGCGAATCAGTGCGGTTTGCAGAGCAACCCAATCTCCAAACAAATGTAATCCTGTGCATATAAAAGATTTTTATTTTAGTCAAACTGAAGTGACTTCATTAGAATTGACGAACAAGGGTCAAAGGAAAACTGTTTTGTTTTTTCCTTAAATCTCAGCACGAGTACTAAGCACAGATGATGTGCTTTCATCTGGAGCATCATCTGAAATGCTCTGAGCATAACCAAATATAATCAATAATCAAGTCATAATTAAATATATCAATAATCATCTGAAATGCCCCAAGCATGATCAAATACTGTAAAAAAAAAAAATATGCATGGTGACGAGTAACCAGTTGACCTACTTAGAGTCTGACGAGGTAACGGAACATGAAGTCCTTCACACTTCACGACCCTTCGGTCTTAAGCAATCGAGCGGCAAGAGGCGATTTACTATGTCATCACTTTATCATGCATTACAAGCAATTTCTCGAATTGTAAAGAAGAAACGGGAACTGCAACTTTTCCTTCTGCCAATATTGAACCCAAAAGACAGGCATAATCATGCAAGTTCGCAATGCTCCATGGTTTCAAAGCATGCAGGCTTCCTCGAGTGCTGTTCCTCACGTAACATCGCGTTCAGGATAAACCATTGTGGCCTGACATTCCTTCACTTCAGTTAGAGCGCGTGACTCGTGTATGAAAACAGTGAATTCGACTCCCTGTATATAAGTGAAAAATGGAATATATTTAGAATATTCATTTCTATGTATGAAAGTTTAAAAATAATGAAGGTGGAGGCAGTAAATGGGATAAATGCAGGCGATATTGAGAAAAGTAATCGTGACCATGGTAATAAAATATTAAAGTTCTCACCCAAACAAAATTATCTATCACAACGTTATAGCGAATGCCCCTTCTGGTGCATTATGATACAGATGATACACGTCGGTCATTGAGTTCCAGCAAAGAAGCCAAGAGGCTAACGCTGCCCCACCCCCACTCTTGTGCAGTTTGGATGACAAAGGCACTTGTCAGAAAAAAAAATACCTTGACACAGGCATACACTCAATCACTTTCCTTTTGATCTCGAGTCAACTGAAAGCGTAAACAATTCAGTAACCGCGTCTTCTTGTAATTGCCGTGATTAGGATGTGAAAATTTGTAGTTGTCCTTCAACGGACATGTGCTAGCGTATAATTCAATAAAGTCATATTATGTCATACCTGAGTAGCTGCTGCTCTTGTGAAGGCCGCATTTGCTGTGCAAGTTATGGCTTTCAACGAGTCTCCAGTACCAAAGATAATCTAAAGAACAAATTAAGTAGGTGAGAGAAAACGATTTGCAGTTTTTTTCCTAAAATATTCAGTCTTAAATTGAACTTAAAAGGGAACCTTTGATCGTTCCTTGATACTTCCACTTGTTCGCACTCTAAGGGACCTCTCTGAAGGATTATCTTCAACAACTGTAACATTTCCAAGGAGAGCCCTGAAAAACACTAACAGTCAGACTTACGTAGACTATTTTCACTACCCGATGGTTGTCGCTTGCTCATGATCTTTCATCCGTACTTCTCGCCGTAGATAGTTTTGTATGCGTAAGGTAGTTCTAAAATTGTCAACAAAATGCATCGCACTTTTTTCGGCCTTGTGGATTGGTATCAGTCAACAATCGGTTAATTAATAGATAGTACTGGTAAACTTTCGGTTTTCACTGAGACATATAAAACCACGTTTGGAGATTCCATCCATTTTTTTTAAAAATAAGATTAGGCGTCCTTTTCCTGGGAAAATTTTGCTGAAATAGCAAGTAAAGGTAAAACAATGTCATAATAACCGTTTTTCATCTTGTTTGCATCAGAGCTCATTGTCTTTAAAATAAATTACCGACAAAACCGAGGTTTCAGAAAAACAAAACACGCATTGGAAGTATGTATCAACAAGTTAACTTTAAGACAGTGCACTTTGTACTTTGTCTGATTTCAATTCAAACAATATACATGTTCATGTACCTGGCCCGCTCCTGTTCTTTACGACCACCAATTGTTTGTAAAATGGCGTCGAAGTCTCTTACTGCTGACTGACATGCGAATAACTTTTTCCCTAACATGCGTTAATCAATCAAAGAAATAAATTGTTAGGTTGCAATACTGCAGGAAATACCCTTGAGAGTACCACTTTTGTATCCACATATTCATCATTACACTTCAGGTACACGTAGCATAATCACAACTCCTGTTCGTTCTCGCAAAGTCAGCTGTCTAGCTGGCAAGACAAGCACGGTTCATAAAACAATCTCTGACGATAGAGTGCATTCAGGTCATAGAGATAATTGGCAAATGCTTTGGGCCAAAAAAGGAATCTAGTTTTTACGAGACTCCCTATGTTAATCAGAAAACAAAAGGTCACTTAATGGACGCAAAGGTTAAGAAAGAGAGACTATTTTGACCTTTCAATCGAAGTTAGAGTGGATAGCGCAGGAACGTGGAGAGAAGTAACAGAATCGTGGGATGGTGAGTTGGGAACTTATATGTGCTAATAAAATGGCAGCTCAAGTCGTTTGCAGTGGAATGTTAAAATGATGTTTGAAAGTCGGTGCATGTGTTAACCTCAAAGCTAAGCAAGACATGACATCACAAACGAAAATACATTTAGATGTTTAGAACAGAAGTATGTGATAGAAGAACTAATCAAGTAAGTTTCATCATTTGTCAACAGATGCTGCAGGAGGCACTCTTACTAAGGTGTTCAAACCTGGACACTGTACGGGACACAATCTGTTCATTTTGCTGGCCTGTTTAACCCTTTAATTCCCATGTGTGACCAAGACAGAATTTCTCCTTACAATATCAATACAATATCAAGCAAACAAGCGATGAGAATAAAGAAAAATATTAGTTAGGGATTAGTTGATCCAATACCAAATTCTCAAAACTAACATTACAAGAACTATATGGCAGACAGTAGGGAGAATTACTAAAGAGATCTTGGGAGTTAAAGGGTTAAAGAAAAATAAGTAGTTGTGTAGGAAACACCTTGCAACACCAAACTTACACCCTGTTCAAGTTTTCTAATCAAGAATTATACTGGCCCATTAAGATTATAGGGAACCAAATGCTGTTGAGCTGCACATGCAGTACCAGTTTGCTTCAATGTCAAACAAGGATGCATACCCCCTCCCCCAGGGAACTGACATTGAGAGTGCTATGTAAAATATTGGAAACCTTTGGAGTTGTAATCTACAAGAGATATCAGTTACAAGGGAGAAAGGTGATCAGAGAACAACACTATTGCTCCCCCTGGGCAAAAAGTTCTGGTGCTCATTATTCTGCATTTCTAAAAAAAAAAACTTGATTGGTTATAGGAAGTACTGATTGACTAAAACATGAAACATTATTGAAAAAAACTATTCCAAGTCAAATGCATTTTTTGTAGTATGACCTTTAAAGAAGGCCTTCAACTTTGGAAGCACTGGATTATGCTGCTCTTCTCTTGCTTGTGTGGTCAAAATGGCCTCCTATAGAGTAAATAAATAAGTACACAAATTCAACAAATTAGCAATAGGTCTGTGAGGGACAACAAAAACTTTAACAACTACAGACTAAGTTAATTTTCATATCTCATGAAATTCAAAGCCCACTCTAGGTGTCAAATACAGACTAAGTTAATTTTCATATCTCATGAAATTCAAAGCCCACTCTAGGTGAATAACAAGATTACTCAAAAATGAAGAACAAAATGAAAAAAAGATACTCCATTTGTTGACTGCTATAGTTAAAAAATTGTTTTAAACTGGATAATTCCAACTTGAGAATTCTGACTAATTCATTCTTTTAAAAGAGACCAAATGAATCCTTAAGTGATAGACTTATCTGAGAGTTCATTACAATCAATGATACTAAAGAAGCATATAATCTTTTACTTAGAACATGCTGCCAGTACCTTGAAGATAAATCCACAGCTTCCATTGGTTAAAGCAGATACATAAGCAATCATAGTGGTGACGTCAAGATTAATAGAAGCACTGAATGAAAATCAAACCAATCATCATTCAAGGTACCTTAAATAACAACATATTCCTTAGCCTTGCCAAAATAAAAAGCAAACTCTAAACTTGAAGATGTAACTTAATGACACATCTAGGATAAAATAACTACATAGGAGCACCCCTTGAAACTAATAAGGGCCCCATTTAACCATAGTGGAAAAAAATACACAAGAAGACCAATAATAGATAACTTTAAAAGGTGAATAATCTTATTCAGTGGATCTTTAAAAAAAAATCCTGAACTTTCTTATAACTACCTAAATCTGTTTGGCTCAATCTGTGATAGGTTAACTTTTTATAAAACTTGAGTATCATTGACTTGTGAAGGAGCTTTAATTGATTTTCGTTTACACAATCCATTCTGAATAACACAGTATAAATTTTTAAGTATTTATAAAGTTGTGGGGCATTTATTTTGAAGTACCTCTTTAAATAAAGAGAGAATAATACATGGGGGCACATAGATGTGGAATTTCTCTTTGAGTGTTCAAATCAATAGCTCGAGAGGAAGCACAGCTAACAAGTGAGATGAGAAGTTGAACATAAGAAGGGAAATTTCACATCTACAAGCAACCATGTAATAGTTTGTATATTATATAAACACAAAAGCACTTTCCTGACAAGAAAAGTCAACTTTATTAATGAATGAAAATAAAAGGATCAACCATCCCCAAATAAAAGTTGTAAAGTGCATTGGCACTGAGGCTCAAGATAGAAAAATGTGTTGAAACTTTTTAAAAACAAACAATGGGAATAACTTTCAAAATAAAAAATTCTCAGTTATTGACTTGGGATCTTTACTGGCAGAAGAAAACATTTCAGGTACATGGCCAAATCAGCCTGTGACAAATCTTCCAGTTGTCAATTCTTGTTCTCAGCTGCCAGAGATGCCATTACCAAAGCCACTGAGTACATAACTTTCAGTTTTTCTTTCTATAATTTGGTTTTCTTCCCCTTCTAGGAAAGTTTGAATGTCACTGTCTGTAAGCAATACAGATTTTTTGGTGTTATAGCCATCATAATCTAAGAAAATGCCGACAAACTACCTTGGAGTGAGAATGGCTTTACTGTTCATTCACCAACTTGAGCGAGTAGCCCAAAAGGCAAGTGATGTGTCAGCAGCTGATTGGTGATATCAAACACACGTGAAAAAATACAAAATTTTTTTATGTGTTTTGTTATGGCTTTTCTCAGGGCTGGAAATCCTTGTATATTACCATAGATTATATGATAAAATAAAATAATATCATAAATAATGTTATTTTCAGTGACTGAAATATTTAGCGTAGTGTACATACTCCAATATAAAAACAGCCTCCCGGAAGAACTCATTCTTTGCCCTGCAACAAGGGTGTTTCTTCACACACAAGGAAGTTGAGGCCTCAAGCGCAACAAGCTAAAGCTATATTGTATGAAAGGGGTGACTAGCACTCACTGAGCTTGCTTCCTCACTTTGCCCAAGACCTAAATCTTTCTCACAAGCCACTTTCACAGCCCAGCACTAATAAAGCAGGTCTGCTTGTCATTCAGTTTAGTTATTCAATTGTATAATTACAGACTGTAGTCAAAACTATCACAAAATTCTTGGATGTGATTGGTTAGCACTGGCACTAGCACTAATAGGACAGTATGTGTCATGCTTGTTATTGGACATTGAAATAAGACAGTTAAAGGGACTGTTAACACATCATGCCTGTATAAGTGGACAGCACGCAACATGTGTGTGCACTGTTGCCTCGCATTTTGCAGAGTTCAGTAGTGTTGTTTTTTTATGAAAATGTATAACCTATGTCTAGTTTCTTTCTTTGTTCAGGACCATCCAGTTCTGTTTGTAATCATACTGACCTTGTAATTGACAAACTGGATTCCTGCCTTGCGGTCGTCTGATTTTGTTAATCACTTGTATGATTACAGACCAAATTGTATTCCACTCTGTCCTATTACCATAATGATTATAAATTGGACCTAACCCAACTCTATTACCATTATTCCCTGTATTAAAAATTTGATCTCGTAGTTTGACAGGTAAGATAAACTTGTTTATATATGCACAAGGAAACAAAGGAATGCTAATTCCATGCTGATATTATGTACAAACCATTCATAAAATTCAACAGGAATCCTGTTATCTGTGAATGTGTCATCAACACATGTACAGGCCAAAGCATCTTTCTCAGGGTCAGGTAAAAGTTTTCCTTTGACACAAATACCCATGCATCTAAAGGCTTCTAATACAAATGAGAATATCAAAGACATGCTGTTGTCCATTGTATTAATAAATTGAAGAGTTTGCATGCTTTTCAATTGTAATAAATCACACTAAAACCTGGGGAAAATTTCATATCATTCAAAAGAAAAGTATTTTAACTAATGCCACTTATGCCTTATTTCAAAATTGATTCAGTTATACTCTCTTTTTCATTTTCATATATGAACTCACTTGCCAGAGATTCTGTGATGCCCTGGCAACATAAAATTATAACAACTGGAGGTGAATAATTCACAGGGTGTTGGTTGCTTGCTTCTAATAATTCCTGAAAAAAATGAGGAAAATAATACAAAAGTATCATCATCTGACTCAATTGATACAGCCTTTACTCCAGTTCATGAAAATATATAGCACAAGATTGCATCAAATAATAATGACAGTAAGCACCTTTGCTTGTTGGAAAATGTCTTTTTCGCCAAAGTTTCCTTGCCCTAAAAAATAAATGTGTAAATATAGTAAATACCAAGTACAATATTAAATGCCAAAGTAATAAGAGCAAACTTCAGCAAAACTTGCTTTGAGCTTTTCCATGAAAAATGCAAAGTTAGTGCAGTGTTTAACGAATAGAGAAGCCTTGAATGTGCTCTGTTCTGTCAAAAGGCATGCACAAAGCAGCTAGGGGTACAAATAGAGAAGCCTTGAATGTGCTCTGTTCTGTCAAAAGGCATGCACAAAGTAGCTAGGGGTACAAATAGAGAAGCCTAGAATGTGCTCTATTCTGTCAAAAGGCATGCACAAAGTAGCTAGGGGGTACAAATAGAGAAGCCTTGAATGTGCTCTATTCTGTCAAAAGGCATGCACAAAGCAACTAGGGGTACAAATGAAGTGTAGGGAGAAACAATTAAAAATAGTTAATTGCACAGTCAAATAAAAAGCTGAGTAAATTTTAAGTTTTGACCTGGAAAAAAAAAACTTTAAAAAGTAATTTTAATTCATGTACAAAAATATACCTTGCCATGTCCTGTGCAATGCAGAGGCATTTCTTGCAGTGACCTTAATCCAACAACAGCCACTATTGCCAACAATATCCACAGTACAATTTGACTGTGTTGAGCTTTTTTCCACATAAGAAAATGGCTTGAATACAGCAGTAACATTGCTTTCACTTTCCACAGTCTCTAACACAGCTTCAAGGAATGAAAGATTGGTGCTTTTGATGTGCGGGTGCTTCAAAGTCAGCTCAGAGCCTTTTAACTGTGGAATTTTTTAAAAAATTATTCAAACAGTGTTAATAAATGGATCAATATATCAATGAAATCTCTCTGGTTCATCTTGAAATATTCAGTTACAGAGTTAAGCTCAATCACACACACACACGATATATATACATATATATACACGGTATGTATGCGATGTTTACATGTTGAAAAGTAGTATGATTAATTATACATATCACCACTATTTGTATGCGGCGCAGTTGACGAAGAGACAGAATCGAATCACGTTGAATTCATAGCTTCTTTTACATCTGTACACACGCCTCCCTGTCTCTACAGGTGTGGTTAAGTTGGGGAAATATATTTTGACACCACAAAAATTCTTTTCAATAAACAATCACGGGACGATCACTGATATAATTACCTCACAAATTAAAATTTTATTTTAAATTAAAACGAGCAACAGATAAAATTTCCCCACCGAAACAGTTGGCAGTCAGTACTCACGGATGTTAAGAATTTTAACTCTGCTAATAACTTCTTCTTTAGCTTCGTCAAACCTTCTATTGTTTTCTTTAAGGTACTGCACCTTTCCAATAGTTCATGTATTTTTGCTATTCTCTCTGTTACTAACTTTTCAGGAAACTCTTCTTCTGCCATTTAGCCCAACAATGACCGTCAACAGCCTGGACTCTAGAATTTTAGAAATTCAAGAAATTCTGGAAAATCAGTACACTGGAACACTTGAGAACAGGAACGAGTCCTACCCCTCCCCTGCGCGAAAAAAAATATTTAAATAGCAGTATAAGCCTGGAGTGTGGCTCTAGTGAGGTGGTCTTAGAGTGATTCGTCCTTTTGATGAGCGGCGATCGATTCATCAGAAAATATTTGCCCAATGTTTGCGTTGTCTCCGGTAAGCCGTCAGTGTTTCATGGCTATCATAAAAAGGACATGAGACAAAAAATTCCTAGGTGTTACGTCTTTTGGTTACATATCTTTTTACTTTGATGAGAAGACATAGTTTCGTCAAAGAGCTCCCGAGGGTAGCCTTGATTGAATTAACGAGACTGAGTTTGTTCTCAAGACGCGTAATATGTCTCCTTTCAAAAAACTCTTATTAGCGTAACGTGGGTAGCGAGATAAAAATTTGTGTACTTAAATTTTTTAGTGGCCTTATGAAATCTAGAGTGTCGAAATTGGGACCATTGAAAATTTCAGCATCGGAGAAATAAATTTTTCAGTTGTGGCGGTGAATACCAAGTATACTTGACGTGGAGCAGGTGAGGTTTGCTTTCAGAGTCGGCAGAAGTATACCATAAGCTCATCGAGCGAGTGATTTTTTTCGTAATCGTCATGATAATGATTTAATTATAGTTCTGTGTATTGATAGCCAATTGTTTACTATATAACTCCGTCTTCCTTCCCGGCTCAGTAGGGGACGCAGCCGCCTTATAGCACCGCGTTTGTGTTTGTGTCTATGTAACGCGCGATGGAGTGGCATCTCATCCAGTGCTAGTAGCTCCGGCTGAATGGACCACTTGGCTCGAGTGCAGACTTTTCCCATGCCTCTTACTCAGGGGTATAAAGCCTTGGGTTGGGATTTTACTCCCCTAACATTCTATTATCGCTGAAACTTAATGTCGATTTTGCTTTTTTGAGGCGATATTGTTCCTTCAGGTAAAGTCATTATTTCAAGGCTTTAGTTATTATCAACAGTACTATATTTCATTGTCATTCAAGTTAATTAAACTGAGCAAACACAACAGACGGTCATCAGATGGATATCTTGAATGCGGAGGACTGGATAAATGTAACATTTGGTTTATATCGTTTCAGGTTCATTGTGAAGTTAAAGCGAAACAACTTTAGACTGTCGCGAAGCGACTCTTGATCCGTGACCGAGAAAATCACTTTTGACTCGTTGCGAGTCGACTTTTGCTGAAACGACCGTACAACTGAAGACCGGCGAAAGATTATCGATACACGTTTCTATTTCTGAGCGCAACAACTTCGATAAAAATCACCATTGAGCCACGAAAATATCGTCGAAATAAGGCGATGGAGTCCTAGGAAACCTTTTCAACTTAGTCGTGAGAAAATAAAAACAAAAGGATTTCTTTAGGATGAAAAGATGACTTTTAGATATAGATGCAGCAATATATATAGATATAGATGCAGAAAAAGTTCTATTGTACTCCACGTTTTCCCGTCGTAAAAACGAAGGAAAAGGTTTTAAGAGGAATAATACACATAAGTAAGAATTTCAAAACAATCTAATTTAGTAGTTACGGGGTGGTCCAATGATCGGATTAAGAATTTTACACAGCAAGGACATTCAACACTCAAAAATGTGTTCGCGTCATTTAAACTCGGTCATTTTGGTTGGATTCTACTGTCTTTCATGATGTTATCGCGGTAGGAATACCGGACCTTCTCCAAGAAAGGGTTTGTGATAGCAAGGGAATATTTTCATTTCTGTTACATTAAAGATATAGCTTACTGTATTCAGTCTCAAGATATTGGTACTGTGGTAGTGAATATCATGAACTGGTATCACGATATCGATATCGTTACCTCCTGCTTTTTTTAAATAGTTCTAAATAATTCTAAAAGCTACGTTTAGAACGAAAGCTTAAAAGTTATCTGTTCAATCATTTTAAAAAATGCCATTGATGATACTAAATATCCGTATCCTCCAAGACGTGTATTTTGATGAGTGAGCCATTGAGCTGGTAGTGTTCAACGCTACCAACCTCTTGAATTTGAAGAATACGAAACAGCACATCTTCAGTGATTATCTGATTCTTCTTTGCTATTGAATTACGTTGATAAAGTCCTTCCAGCTTTTTCTTGTACAGCAAAAGTTTAGAACACTTTTCCTGCTCGTCATATTGAGAACTTGTGAATTTTGCCAAAAGAACGAAACACCTTGCCTTTTCATGCATGGTCCTCTTCATGCTTCATGCGTACAGGAGGTTTTATATACATTCCATGAACGTTTGGTAGATAATATTGTCCGGTTTGCCGTTCAATCCACATCTAAGTTGAGATAAAAAAAAATAATAATGACATAAGTCTTCTAATGTCTCTGACTGTTTTCTACATAATATTCGTGGTGAACGCTTAGTCCAACTGCCACAAATGTCCTGTAATAGAAGGGGTCACTGTTAATCTACAGTAAGAAGAATTTCAATGTGAGACTGTTGCGATTTTAAGTTCAGTGTAACTAAGCCGTAGCAGGCCGTGGAACGAGGTTCTTATGACTCTTTGAAATCAAATGGAGATCCGTTATGGGTCGGCCTACTGGGACTGCCGGTCGTTGAAGGTCTTCAGTTTCCCTTATGTAAGTGAAAATACAACCCAATTGGGAAGCGAAAGGAAATAGATTTAGCCTTGTTAGCCCTAACTAAATAATACTCACTTCCTTCTATTATTTTCTCCTCCAGTCTGTCTTTATTTGGATTTGAAGACTTTTCATAGTTCTATCAAAATATCACTAACAATGGTAACTAGAATTTGATGTATGTGTGGAACTCGTGAGTGGACTGATAACGTCCAATGGCTTGATTGGATTTTCCAGACAAAGCTGTTTTATGAACTAAGTAACAATATAACAAAATCCCCCTGATTGGCTTCCGGTCTTCACAACCCCCCTTCCCCCTCCCCTTCATGTCTTCATCCATCTAGTTTAAAAACAAACTGGAAGACATACATGATTACTCAATAAATCAGGCAGCACCGGACTATCTCGTTTGCTTTGGTTACAATTGCAATCGTTTTCAATTTTTCTCTAATTAGGTCTGTTTTAATAGTACCTTTAGATAAAGCCAGTACATACGGGAAAAATCTTCAATACTGCTCACGTATCTCTCTGAATGGCGTACCTTTGTGTAGATATCATTACTGGCCTAAATGCCCTCCCAATCTCAATCCCAAATTCACGACATTGTGTTTCAGGTTTGCCCGGAACTCATATTATACAAAAGGAACCTCACTTCTAAATTGTGCTTTTCAAGGAACCCATTAGTGCTGGAAGGTGAGCATACCATGCGGCAGATGCACAAACTGTGTTTAGATTTGAATAAAGGGGGTAAGTTTCTAAAGAAACTGTGGTGCTGCATCGGTGGGAGAGTATAGCAGGTAATTTAGTGTTAACAACTGAGTTGAAAACGTAACTTGACCACCATAAAGACGGTTTAAATCGCTCTGACGAAGGGCTAACGCTCGAAACGTCAGCCTTTAAACTCTTTACGGTGGTCAATTTATGTTTTCAACTCAGTTGCTAACACAAAATTACCTGTGCTTAGATTTGCTTGTCATATCAGTGTTACTCAATAATGACAAAGTGTTCATAGAAGGGTCCCGAGGAGAGGGATCACTGCTTCGGTATAAATTCTTCCCTTGTCCATCTCGTGTGCAAGTAATTTGAACTTCAATGCCCGGTTGGTTAGCCTGGCTTTCCAGTGGCAGATAAGCAAATCACTTGAGCAATGTATATTTATTTGCCATTAATGGCGATGTGACTTGAGCTTTTGATAAAGGCGCTGTAATCGGCCTTCCATGCTGCATCGCAAAAATTGCCTTCCAATTTTACAGACCTATTTAGAAAACTTGTGCTTTTCATGGTAACTGTTTTTGTCTGAAGTACAACTTGAAGCCGGACAGAATAGAAATGCCTGTTTTTGAAGTTATTTAGGGGACTGAAATAGACGAAGCCTTGGTATCAGGCAAAATTTTGAAAAATCACCGACTGCAAAGTGACATTTAGTGTTTCATGTTAAATCATGAAAGTTCTTGACCACAAATTCTGTTCAATGTGCAGAAACAATTGAGTTTACTGTAGCCAGAAACCACGGTTTCGTATTTTATTGATGAACACAACAAAAACTATTCCTTGTCAATAGAGCATTCAATTTGACAAGAAAAATGACTTCTCGTTAGTTTAGTGTTACCTTTTGTGCGATCGTTAAGTTACCAAGTAAATATACAAGTGTTGTGACAATATCCGCGAAAAATCTCATCAGTTGGTCTTTAATTTAGGGTTATTAGTGTTTTATTCGTGAAACAAAGTAAAGGAAACAGTTGGACTCAAGCTGAATTTTAACGATCAAATGACGTCATACAAAATTGCAATGGTCTTGTTTCATATTCTAGCAATGTCAATTGTTTATTTTTCATTGTGTCATTAAAATATGGAAATGGCGTTCCTTTCTTGAACATTTAAATTTTATTTATTTAACTGAGTGATTCGAGTGAGACATCATCTTTTAGGGCGGTCATTTTAAGAAAGCATTAGCCATAATGACTGATCAGGAAACGCCCTAAAGTTTGGTTGTTTCCTGAGAAACCTGAAATAAAACTTAATATAACTCGAGTATCTGCGGTTTAAGAAGAACCAAAAACTTAAACCTAAATTGAAGTATACTTCACGTTTACTTTGCTCCTTAATTTTGCCCTTGTGTCTGACCCTGTAAGGTTGAATGGGTACCTCTTGCTACGCTTCAGTTTTACTTGCAGATAGTTACACATGGTACCTCTTTCCAAAGTAGAAGTAGTCCTTGGAGGTCCAAGTGTTTCCATGGAAGAAAATCTATATGGTTTATGGAGAGCAGCAAGAGCAGAGATTAATCTTGGACAACTTTCAGCTAACTGTCTGGCCGATGCTGAAGTTTGCAAGAATTTTACTGTCTCGTTTCTCTTTAAAATCAGCGAAACGATAGCAGAAAATAAAAGAGTAGATGCCATTCATCCGATTCCAGTTACTAACGAAAACTCTCTCCCCGCTTCAATGTGCACAACAATTTTTCTCATTACATGGGTGTTGCAACTGTGGCTCGCCGGCAAAACTAGACGGAAGTAACGAGCACAACTTATTCTAGAGACAGATGGAATCTTGTCGCACTTGTCTACACAAAGGTAGACTGTCTTGAGCTTTACATCAACGGAACCAATAAACATTCCAATACCTGTTTTGCCATTAACAGCGGTTCTGTCTCACCAGTGAATGTGAATCTTTTTTCCTATAATACCTCGAACTTTATATACGTGAATTACGTACAAGTCATTCAATTTGCTACAGGTAAGCTGAAGTAACGACTTTACACGAACAAAGCTTCACTCAAGGTATCGAAAGGTAGGCAAGTGACTCTCAAGAGGCTGTTATTAGCTCACCCTTAAGACTACATGTACATGTTCTTTTAGCCGGTTTTCACTGGGAAAGAAAACACAGGAAGAGATAATATAGTACCTCTAAACAACTCCCGTTTAACTGAAATATGAAACATAAAACGTTAACTTGCGTCTCTAATTTTAACTTTTCAGACTAAAATACTTACTTAATGCATGGTTGCCAATTGTTCTTTAAAACTTCCATTTTTATATATGGATCTTATCTTTCAGCTTTAATACCTAATAACAATAATACTGTTTTTGACAGAAAAGTAGAGATGGTAATACAGTAACTGTCTGTCTCTGTGACCATCTTTTTCTCTTTCTCTGTCACTGTCACTGCCAAAGTTACTGTCTTTCTCACTGACTGTTACTTCACTGTCGCTGTCTCTGTCATTTTCATTGACATGTTCTTTGTCTTTGTCTCTCTCTGTCTCTGTATCTTTGTCTGTCACAGTCTGTCTCTGTCCTTATGTCCATCACTGTAACTGCCATTGTCTCGGTCACTATTACTGTTGGTTGTCACTCTTTGTGTCAATCTCGCTGTCCTGCTCATTGTATTGTTACTGTCACCATCACCGTCTCTGTTCCGGTCATCTTCACTGTTTACAGCGCTAAAAACTATGCACATATTCAAAAGCACTTTTCATCACATCAAGTATAATGAACTAGTACTGAACGCTTTCCCAAAAAGAAATGTTTTGAGTTGTTTCTTAAAAGAAGCAAGGCTGCTACAGGTAACGGCAACGAGTTCCAAAAGTTAGGAGCAGTATTAGCGAAAGCACGATTCCTAAGTGTAGGGTAGTTGACCCGTGGAAAAAACAGAAGAGATTGTGTGGACAAGAAAAGAGCATAGTTAGAGGCAGGTTTAAGAGATAAAAGATCTTTAAGGTAGAGTAGACTAAGATTATTTAACGGCTAAAAAACAA